GTCCCGGCTGGCCTGGGGCTAAAGACTCTAACCCCACTCGAATTGTATGACTGTTGTGTTTTTTAATGATGTAGTGTCTTTATGTTGTAAATTGTTTGTCCTTCCCCCCCCCCCCCTTTTGAACTGTGAGCCGCCCTGAGTCCCCCCAGGGAAAAGGGCGGCATACAAATAAAGTGAAAACTAAACTAAACTAAACACGCTTGCCACCTCTGGTGTGTGCACTGGGGGATGGGCCACCTGGTGGACTGGGGCGGGGGGGGTGTCAGTGCCTCGCCATAATCCTGACAGCATCTTTTCCCAAAAATAAGCCCACATAAGACTAAGTCTTGTTTTCAGGGTAACATGGTATCAATAAATGAAATGTTTAAATCAGTGGTCAGTCCTCTAAGTGGATTGTTTTTCTGTAAAGCTGAATTTTTCATGTGTAATGGATTTTAAAGAAAAAGAGTCATGCAGCCCTGGCAGATCAGTGTTCATATCCTGTCCTAGTCAGTGAAACTTATTGAAAGGATAGTATGAGTCATAAACACTCCCTATTTTTTACACCGCATTTGTCAACTTTACTCTATTGATGTATTCTTTGGCTCAAGGCTTTTTATCCATAAGAGAATATTAGTTCTTATTGCCTTTATCCCATTACTGATATTTATTCAGAATGGATAAATATGGATAGCCTGTGCCTGCAAATTGTTTTACAATTACTTTATTACATTTACTTTTAATGTGACTACAGATATGTATAGTTGTAACTCTTGAATTAGAGATATGAATTCAGTTGATTGCTAACTTATGCTTCTTTAATATTTTCTGAAGTTCATTGCAGTTAAAAGTCAAAATGGTATTTCTTCTTTGCTATGTGTTATAGCAAGAAATTATAGACCCTGTATGTGCATTTTTTTAAATGCACATCTTTCTCCTTAAATGGCTACACATTGGATTACCCTTTAACTACTAAAAATAAATAAAATAAAAAACAACCTCAAACCCACTTGCTTTGAAGTTTTTTCCTTACCTGCCCACAACACTTTTTATCTAAATTCCATTGCTAAAGATTTGTACTATCAGGACATTCTGTTCTGATGAATAACTTTGATCACCCAGCTGGCTGGGTGTGCTTAGAGTATCTAGCCATGTCACATAGCTGTCTAAAAATAAACAAGTATGATACAATTAGTTTTTAAAACTTACTTTCAAAGGAAGTATTGGCAAATTCTCATTTGGGTGCATTTTTCCTAGTTAAATCCTAGGTATCCTAGGAGAAGAGGTCCTCGAGTTGTCATTCA